TTAAGCAAAAAAAACATCAAAATAATTAGTTTCATCCAGACAATTAATATATTTTGTGGTTGGACTCGGTGCTGCCCCAACTTGTTGTTCACCACATTTCCAAATGTATTAAATCCGCCCCTGACATGAGTATAAAATAAATTACTCTGTACTTTTGAATGGCATCTGTTTTTTTCTTTTCTTGTTTTATAACTGAATATTAATCCTTACATTTAAGGAATGTTTTCTGCTTTAGTTATGTTCTATTTGTTGGAAGGATGATGTATTTTAATTTGATGAGTGGGATGGAACGCCTGAACCTCTTTATTCATTTTTAATGATCTTGTTTCTAGAGCTGACAAATGTTTAGATGATCGAGTGAATAAAGATCAAACGGTTCTGCTGCTCCCCCACATTCTCTTCATCATCTACATCATCTTCATCATCTTCTGGGATGTTCTGCTAACTGATCAAGAGGCCTCCTGAGGATCAGCAGGAGCTTTTCTGTGGAGAGGTGATAACCAGAAGATGACGGTCTTCACAGGGCGAGAAGAAAAAACAAGTAAATAGTTTATGCTTTTTTGATTAAAAAGATAAAAGGACCAAAAACCACATATTTTCTTCCTGGGATCATTTAGCAGATTGAAGTGAAAACAAGAGTTATATTAAAATGAATATAATCAAAATTTAAAAAGCATTTTGAAAAGGCCAAAAAACTTTATAGCAGCTTCTGCTGTTGCTTTTCTGGTCGCTTTTTTGCAGATATTCTGTTCCTACTGAAAGAATGAGTGGGGCTCCCCTCACTATCCTCTGCAGGGCCATTTTCAATGCCATAATCTAACCTGGTCTAACGATGTTCTCCGCCTTCTGGACTCATTGAAAGTCTGCTCTCTGACGGATTTCAGGTCATCTGAGCGACATGTTGAGGCAAATTTGGGACTCTATGGAGTGAATTTTGTTCCATTATTGATGCAAGCAAGGAATAGGTTTTGAAAATTGAAATTTTTATAAAATATATAATCCAGAAAAGTAACTTTAAAATCGTTTGAAGCAGAAATGATTATCTTAATATCAAATCCTGAATAATCACTCACTGTTGAAACAACATTGACCAATAATAATGGTTGCTAACATCCAGCAGACAATAAAAACAATGTAAGAGGAACTTTGCTGTTTTCTTAGATTTATTTTTTTTTCCAAGAAATTAGTTTTCTTGAAATTTCTGTTTTTTAGATTGAGTTTTACAAATTTCAGTATTTATAAATTGTGTTTTACTGTTCACACTCTCCTCACTTAAAGCCAAACCCAAAGACTCGCTCTGGACCAATAGAAATGCTGCTAACATTCAGCAGACCAATAGAAATGCATCTTTGCTCCTCACTCCAGACGAAAGCCCGCCCCCAGAAGTAAACAGAATCTGAGCTTGAAAAGGCAAATTGAAATGCATGAACTCTATAAAGTCAAACTGAAACCAAAAAACAAATATTTTGAAAAAATTAATTTAAAATATCTATATAAAATAAAATATGAAAAAAATTGAAAAAAACAATATCTGAGTTAAAAGAAAAGTTCCTTTCACAATCTTATGTTAATTAAAAGTTCAATTAAAAAGTTTAATTTCTGGATGGATTTTTTTTTTAATTTTTCATGGATAAAACATTTTACAGATACGGTTTTTTATCCTAATTTATCGGCTGGCTCAGCGGACAGTTTGTTGTTTCTGTGCTGAGAGTTCAGGGCGTCCACCTGCAGGATGCTTTCTCTGCACCGACTCTGTTGCTGCAGAACCTTCTTCTCATTTTTCTCATGGATCAGTCCTTCTACTGAGGCATCGCTTACAAAATTAGGATCACTTTTTTTCTTATGTGTGAAAGGATTTCAGGGAACCAACACAAAAGTCTGCAGCCTTTCTCATTTTTCAGATGATTTCTTTTTTTTATTTTTCCCAAATGAGTTGAAAGATACTAACTACTCATAACTAATCCACAGGACCAAAAGGAATCCAAGCTCTTCTTATAAAAGGCCACGTTTCAGTCCAGTTTCCTGGACATTTTCTGTGCTGTAGCCACTTTAGAACACAGAATATTTGAATCTAACATAAAAAGCACCTTTTCTCTCACATATTTCAGGGTTTTTTTTCTATGCCAAATTAACCTGCTAACTCTCATCATATGTCAGCAATGTCCTCATCGGTGAATCCCTGTTGATTCGTCCCTCGGTTCGGTCCTTTCTGTCCCGTCTCTGTCCCGTCTCTGTCCCGTCTCTCAGGCCTAAAGTTCCCATGACCCGTCACAATACAGTGATGATGTATTCACGCAGTGATGTATGAAATTCAGCCAAATAAAAACCTTTGTCCTCCCACACTGGCTAATTATTTGACAGATTGGATCCCTGTTGTGTGTGGATACTGTGAAGAGGCCCTCCCCGGCCCCCCCATCCCCCACCCAATAAAGAGGCCACTTGCAGGAAAAAAAGGAAAAAATTCCTCTATAGCCGCCCCTTTTCTATTCTTTGTTAGAAGATTACATTTTTTTACCACATTTTGGAGCGACAAAATGGGGAGAGCTGTGGGTTTTCTTAGAAGGGGGGTAGTGTGGTCCCTGTGTGCTCCGGCAGTGACAGAGGGGGCCAGGACAGCAGTCAGTGGCAGCTTAAAAAGATTTTCTCAAGCAGAAATATTTAATCTTCTCAGGGAAAATAAAGCAGAGAGAAAAAGAAAACAGCAGACAAAGAGAAGCTAATCATCCACAGCCCCCCCGCCCACAACCTCCCACCACCCCCTTCAGTTATCAGTTAAAAACAAAAAGAATGAGACTAAAAGATTATTCAAGATCGATGGAATAAATCTACATTTTTAATGATCCCGGTTCCCACATTTCTGTGCGGATGGTCTGCCTCCTAA